ATGTTTCTTCTACTAGCTCCATATGCTTGTGGTAACATGACCTTCTACAACAACACAGAACTCGGTGGTATTACTATTGGATCAGCTACATTGAATTACACTGACTGCTGCTCATATTGCTTAATGACGTCAGGATGTGTGGGCTTCACACTAGTTGTTTCCGGTAACGCTTGCTATATAAAGAGTGCAGTTGTGAATTCTTCTGCTTCCGGTCGATACAGTGCTAAATACTGAACTAGTTTCTTCTTAACAGCAAATGATCGATCTTATACTTTCATATAAATCCGTCTGTTCGTTTCTGACTCATTTTTAATAAACAACCTTTGTATTCGTACGAGAAAGAAAAGCAATCCTGTGTATGTATTTGATAGAAGATGTACATTACCGAACATCTATCGTCGTTTGTTATCTGAGCGATGATGATTCGAGCGAATATTCTAAAAATAAGATGACGAAACTAAGTTTCACAATTATCTACATCTAATGAAGAAAATATCATGGAGAGAAAATTGGCAGATGTTTCTGGCCTTAATGGATGCATTGTTGCGCAATTTCATGGTGTTGATCAGAGCACATGTGTTGTATTAATTTCTAGGAAGCTCAAAATATTTTAGACACCAAACAATTTTCGGAAATCTATTTTAGTTCCTTAGTCGACATAGGAATCATGATAGATAGACAGGACAAACAAGCTCCCTTTGGACACTATATTACTCTTCGGAAATCGAAATGCATTCTCAAAAAGGGAAATCATAATCTTATTCAAACCACAAGGTATTTTCAAGTGAAAACATTAGGAAACCCACAATAATCACGCCTCTTTCATTGGGAGTGTCACCGGGCACAAACATGGCGTGTTTCTCTTAATTAGCTTCCTAGAATAGTGTCCAGTACTTTTCAAGGTTGTACCCCTTAGCTTTTGGAAGAAACAACATTGAGGATAACGGTGTCAGCATCTTGTCCTGTGGTACGAAATAATGTGCCTATTAAGACGAAATGTTGATAGAGCTTTGTTGTCAAACTTATAGTCAGTTATTTCCCATCAAACTAAGATTTTCACTGCGAAGAAAGTATTTTTTTGTCAGTTCACGAGAAAGTTTTGATTTCCGCAGAGCGTTGAGCTATCTGAGGATCGAGAATATACCATCATGTCTCATATACCCTTTATAGTTAGTAAAAATCTTCTGTGCATAGATGTCTCAAAGAATAAGCCCCCTAGAAACTGCTAGAACGGATGACATCATGGTCAAGCATGGACAAGAAAAATTTGCGAAGAATGGAAACTGTACCATACTTTGAATTCAAGCATAGCATACTTTTAAGGGACTAGAATGTGCATTAAATAGTATGATGCAGATGGAACATTTCTTATTTGGGATCATAAGAGAAATACAATTTAAGAGATAGAGGAAAGGAAGTGTAATACCCATTAATAATATCAGAATAATAAAACATCGCTGTTTAACTCTCGTTATCCTCATAGAAACCACCATTTTGTATGCACGAAAAAGACTCATAGAAAGAGCACGGCTCTGTTTCAAATTGTAATGAATTACGCCTGGATTTTTCCTTCTTATTCCGCAAGTCAAACCAAGAAGAGAAAGAATATCGTTTAGTTCAAATCTTGCAGCCGTTGTTTTCACTGATATCTCAGATGTGCTTATCGAAAAAGAAACGTACTTCACCACGAATTCACTGGCAATTGTACATAGACACAATGACAAAGATTTGTGAACCTATCTGAATATAGTTTTTGATCAAAGCGTATTGATGTTACACGGAGAGAGATGGTTCTCATATTTCTAAAAGACAGAATAATAACGAATGCTTGAAGTAAATCAAAGCACTTCCGGCGTACATTATTAGAGTTTGACCAGCGCAATAACAACGGTAAACTTTTTTCTTTTCTAAAAATAATCAATGCATGTTATTTTTAGTGAATAAAAAAGCCTATTGCTATCCAATGAAAGCCTTTTTCCCAAGGTGAACGATGGAGAAATTAGACGCAAGCAACACTTCGGAAGAAATTCAAACAAACAAAGTGTTTTTACCAAGCAAAATCATGAGCATTGAACGAAGACGCAATTGCTATTGATGGGAAATATTTCTGGACATTTCGTTGTTCATTTTCTTTCTCTAATGTGTCAATACAATATTACCTTTGGAGAAAATGATTCTTTTTTTCTTGCATTCATAGAATAATGTCAAATCCCATGGAAATTTATCCATCAACAATGCTAATCAAAACACTTCGCGAAACAAACACTCCAATGGTTGTAGGGCGCATCGCCAACGAAGACTTCGATCCATCGACTTATTTCACTTCACTCGTTGATAATGTTTGCTAATATCAGCAAAGAGAGAGATGTGAACGATGTAAAGGGGCATTAAGAACTTCATTCCAGGATACTTATGTTATGTTTGACTAAGTTTCATTTCGGAAAATAAATTGACGCCTTTTATCAGACATTCTTATGTTCAACTTCACTTTTTCATTATTTGAGAAGAAAATAAAAATGAACAAAGTGAAACTAAATCCATTGAGTAAACAACTAAATAAAAAGAAGAAGAGAAGAGAGAAAATGAGAGAAATAAATAGAAATGAAACGAGCGAGAAGTTTCACTTCATTTCTTTGAAGTAGAATGCTATTTTTACGATACACAATTGATCAACCTTCTTCTTCTCATTCTTATTGCTTCCATTCAATAAAGAATAATCTCCAGGAATTAACGATGCCGGCGTTTGTCAATATAAATATGAGCTTGATGATTGTCTTCTCAATCATTCGGTTGAGTCAATCATCGGGTATGCATTTACTTTCTTTTTTTTCTATTCATCAGTGTAGTGACTGAAAGAATCATATTACACAGAAATATTATGCTCGTCGCTAGTAGAATTTGAAGTGTAACCTGAATTTCTTCGAGCTAACAAACAAGCTGTGTATATTTTCGCTTCAAGGCGGTATCAAGCTCTATTTTTTCTCTAAGGATTTCACTAGGGCCGAGCGTTGTTTACTTCATTTTTCGAGAGATATTTCTTATGAATGCTCAAAACGATTGTTGGTCACATTTCTTCGAGCTTAAAAAAATAATCAATGCTACCCAACTGAATGTCTTTTACACAAATCAATCCATTCAATGTGGAGATCATACGATGGTCATTGAAGTGTGTTCGTAAGGTTTATACAAGCCTAAAATAATTTTACTTATGAGCTTTTCTAGTCGATTTCTGTCTATTTTACTTGAATTCTGTTTGTTCTTCCAGTTCTCACTATACCGCCAAGAAATAGAATTGTGAGTTAAATGATGCTCGCACGTACATCTAATGAATAGGGAGACACTCGGAAAGTTCATTCAGAATTGATATTTGTATTTTCCAGCGTAGTTGTAGAAAAATCTATGCACTGTTGACAGGACTGCGGTCAAGAAGGTAGTCAAGTTTTCTATATCGAGTATCGATGTGACATGCTCAGTAAATTTAAGACATCATTCGCATCGACCATCGATAACTTTGATGCACCAGCACTAAACATACGAAATACCGATCCAACACTATCGAATAATTGATACTTCACTAACCTTGCTTCCTCGTCTTCACTCTCAGCGTAGAAAGATATAGTTTATCTATTCGGTCAGTACCTAGACTATTTCAATAATTTAAAGTTGGTATGTGCGCGTTTTATTCTAACTTTACTGATAATGAATCGAAGTTTCTTTCTTATATTTCAGTTGTTTCATACGATCGATCCAAGTTCAGTTGCAATACATTATGGAGTCCAAATGCTATGACCTTCGTAAAGAGTACCATCGTTGAGATGACACCTCTTGATATATTTGTTAATACAAACAATATTGTTTAAGTGGATGCTACGTTGAACCAACAAGTCTTGGTGCGGATCCAAGGAAACCCGTCTTCAATATAAGATTCTATCTGATGGTTTGCATTATTCTGACAGTCTTCTTGTTACAGTCAATGGTGAGATCTATATCGACAGTGGATACTCGAATGGTTGAGTGGAGGGTGTGGGTGGGTGTGCGTGTAGATGTATGAGTCTTCTCTTCATTCACAACCACACCAACACCCTCGTATTTTTAAATTTAATAACGTTAGATTTGATTTTTTTTCTAATTTCTTCAGAAAACTCCTATCCTATTTTAATTCTATTAGATGATGATTTATTTACAATGAGCGTGCTGGTATCAGTCTGAGTGTTCCTTTCATCTACATCTGCACATCACATCCACACCCTTGAATATAACAGAGCCTCTGTACGTGCGCATGTGTCTCTTACAATTATAGTATATTTTCTGTGCCAGAGTTTTATTATTTTTTTCGACAGATAATTTAGCAGCATAGTCAGGGTTTAGCTTATGAGGAAACTATAAGGGAGCTCAACACACAAATGTGTAGTTTGTGGTAGGGCTTAGAATGATATTTTCTCATGACCAAACAGTCTAAGGAAGGGCTCAATTGATTAATGAAGGGCCTGAGTCTCCCCAGACTCCCCCTCCGGCTATGCCACTAGAATAAAAAATCTTTATCATTGCTTTTCTCATATTTTCGAGGTTCTTTATATATAGTTGAAGATGAGGGTGATTTGATGGTAATGAACGCTGTCCAATATCAGCAGCACGTTCATAAAACGAAAGTGCTTCCGGATAATTACCCATGATCTCATACACCGTACCGATGCTGTTGTAAGAAAGAGCTAAATCAGGATGATTTGGAGGAAGAGATTTTTGTCGAATTTCAATGGCTAGTGCGAAAGATGAAAGTGCTTTCGTATACTCTCCCATTTCGGCATACGCCGAACCGATGTTATTGTAGGAAAAAGCCAAATCAGGATGATCTGGAGGAAGAATTTTTTGTCGAATTTCAAGTGCTTTTTCGTGATATAAAAGTTCTTTCGAATTTTCGCCCATTCCACCGTACGTATTACCGATGTTGTTGTAGGAAGAAGCCAATTCAGGATGATTTGAAGGAAGAGATTTTTGTCGAATTTCAAGTGCTTTTCGGTAATGCGAAAGTGCTTTCGAATAGTCGCTCATGTTTTCATACACCATACCGATGTTGTTGTAGGAAGAAGCCAATTCAGGATCATCTGGATGAAGAGATTTTTGTCGTATTTCAAGTGCTTTTTCGTGATATGAAAGTGCTTGCGAATACACTCCCATACTGTGATACACCAAACCGATGTTGTTATAGGATTTCGTTAGACCAGGATGATTTGGACCAAGAAGTTTTTGTCGAATTTCAAGTGATTTTTCATAAAATGTAATTGCCTCTTTATAATCTCCTTTATCCTGTTTGGTCCATCCAATTTGATGATAAACACCAGCTTTTTCACTGTCCTTAGATACTTGTTCAAGCATCATTTCGTAGACTTCTTCTGCCTTGCCCGACTGACCCAATCTCATTAATATTAAACCTAATCGTTCCCATCCTTCATTGTATGGAAAAGTCTCTTCTCTTATACGTTCAGTAAGTACATGAAGTTCTGGGTCGTGATCACTTGTAAGCGTTAAGTCTACTTGCCAGAGACGACTATTTTCATCCAGTTGCTTGATATCTCGGATGCGAAAAACTGTGTGCATCGAGAAGAGAATTTCATCTTCTGTATCTTTATAGAAACTAACATCGTTAATTGAAGCGAAGGGTATTGATGACTTCGAAGGATCAATCAATATAACAAAGAGAATCCCAACCCGATCAGGATTCGAAAGAGCATTACGAGCAAAAATAAGAGAAATATCTCGAACCTTACTGGTGGATAAAAAGTTATGAAATGACATAAGCCCACCTTTTGTTTGCATCATTTGTTCCAAGTCTACCTTGGACAAACCTTGCCCTCGGTAGACAGTGAATTCTTGGTTGGATTGATGATCACCGAATTGTTTTGCATGTAATTGTTCGATGTGTCGATGAAGATCACCAATGAAGAAACCCATCTTGATAATCACGTCAACATTCATTGTTCGGAGAGAATGATTCAGCATTGGATATAAAAAGCACTCGTAGCTGTACCACCAAATGGGTGTGTGATCTCGATATTCTCGCTTTAATTTGTCAACATTGCCCAATTCAGCATCATTTCCAGTGAATGTTTTATCACAATAATCGAGAAATTCCTTGATATGTTGTTCTTCAAATTGAATTGTTAATAAAATTTCTTTCAAAATTTGTGTATACATAAACGAAGAATCTAATTGATCTAAATTTTTCTTAGATACATTACCACTTGTGGACATGTAACTAATCGGAATATCGTTGTGCTCACATTCTTGAACTGCTTGCCTAAGAGACTCACAGATATGAGAGATTTCTGTGAAAACTCCCTTTATTTTGGACCATTTTTTGGTCCATTGTTCAGATGTTGACTTCTCCCCACACAGAACATAAATAGAATCAAGATGAGGCATATTATGAATGATTGGTAGTATGTTTTCGCCAACACTGCCAGTAACAATTAGGAATACCTTTCCATTTTCAACGTGATTGATGAAATTTGCACAATTATCAGCATCGCTAAATGTCTTAATGGTGTTAACTATACGTTGTAACTGTGCAACGGCCTTTGAATAATTATTATCCTTTACTTCGTCAATACTGGCGTCCAACCAGACAAGAACATAGTTTTGCATAATACGATTATTAACTGGTAGTTGTAATCTTTTTGCAGTTTCTGACAGAAATGGCGTAGCTGCATTGCCGCGTCTGGGTGAACTGCCTATTGGCATCGATGTGTTGCAACCCATGTTATGCGTAATGTGGAAAGTTATGTGCGTTGTCACAGCAAAACTATGAATGAATGAGTGAGCACTATTCAACAAGAAAGCTCCTCTATTTATGCGAACATTTTTCTTATTGATTTTTCTTTCTTAATCACCAATTTCTGTTTTTTTTACGCTCAAGGGTGTTGCCAGTTCGATGTGATTCGATTCTGTTATTTTTCGTTGTTAACTGTCAATGAAGTCTGTATAGTTACAGTACACGTTTGTGTAGCTATATATAAACAAGTTTCGTCACAACCAAATAGAACACGATGATTCATCTGTTGAGTGTTGCCTAAGCAAACGCAAACGTTTTCTCCACAACAAAGCGCAAAATTGGAAGACGACACTAGCAAAAAAAGGACACCAACGCCTTGCTATAACTTCTGTTGTGCTTGCATCTGTGTCTACGCAATGATTTTCAAATTGTGTCACTTGGATTGAGTCAACAAATACGTCAGCTCCAAGGAAAACAAGGGTGTGGGTGTGAGTTTCGGTGTAGGTGTGGCTGTGGATGTGGATGTGGGTGAGGGTGGGGTATCGAGTATTCCAGAATGAAGAGAGTAAAATTCACGTCCGGGTCCACATTCAGCTCACATCCAAATCCGTACCCATACCGATACCCATACCCATACGCACACCCATACTCCGCACTTATACCCAGACTCACATCCACCAATACCCACACCCTAGAGGACAGGCATTCGCACCTTCCTACATTCACCTCCATACTCCCATATTTCTTTCTCTCTCTCTCTCGTCTTTATTTGCTATTTCGTTTGTCTTACAAACGCATAATTTTTAATCATATATTGATTATCGATCGATTATCATACTATAATATCTATTTTAATCATACATTAAATGAAAAAGAATGCAAATTTTCATTTGTTAGCTAATTCGTCTAACATTTTCAACAATATTGTGAAAGAGGCGGAAAATTTTCAAAAAAAATTGCTCGTTTTCTTAGTTAAATAGAGAATATTTCTGTTTTTTTTCTTTGTTGATAATCTTTTTTTTGTTGCTCGGTAAGTTGTTATGTATGTATGGGGGTGTCTTTTGTTTGCTAGCAAACGAAAGATTATTTTTATTATTCATTTTTAAGTGTGCTTGCACAAACAAATGTCAGTCTGCATAAGCGAAGAGCAACAACAACGAACGAAACGAATACATCATCATCATTCGAATGCAGAAATATCTACAGTAACAAATGAGGAAATATACTCAAACCGATATCGACGATCCATAACAAAAGCATACATATATATATATATCTACTCGCTTTCTTTTCATTAATGAGAGATGTATATAGTCAATGTACAGAGTTATAATAAGGTGACACAAGAAAAAAAAAGTCACAATATAATAACGCGTTTTTGAAGGTATGAAACACATGAATGTATGATAAAGATTTTCAGAAAGATTAGTAATTCCATGATTTTAAATTTAAGAAAACAATGAATGAATAAGAGTCGGAGTATATACTGTGAATACTGAGAAATTTGGGTGTGGGTGTGGATGGACAGATGAGCAAGATCCACACCCTTTTTATTTCTAAAAATAACTAAAAATAATAATTGTATGAATATTATTTATTGATCCATATATGTATTTTCCTAAAAAGTATGTTGTATTCTATAAAACAATGAAATATCGTTGTAAAAATCCTTGAAAAAAATCGATTACAGCTTTTCTCAAATAGTAATTATATGCATAATTATGTATAAATCTTTGATGAATTATGTCTATATCTAATCAATAAAAGTTTTCAAAAATAGGGTTGAAGATTTGCCAAAAAATATTTCCTAAACTCACAGTTGTATCTTTATTTCAAAAACGCGTTTACATGCACTTTTGATGATTTCGGTCAAATGAATGAGTTTAGACGCGTCTAGTCTGCGTTTCAGAATTACATGGTTACTCTTAAGAATTATGTAAATAATTACATTATTAGTGAGAACATTTCATCTATTGGTGCTCAAGCATTAATTGAAAATTATATGTTTATTCAGTATATTATTTATTTTCTTCATTTTGATGATTGTAATCAGTGTTTTTACTTTCATTTCTAGTCTTTCGAAAATTTTTGATTGTCTTGAGCGCAACTGAATGAATTATTGTGTGAACTGCTATTGATCTTTCTTGTCTTTAGTAACACATAGAAATTGATCTCGTGCACATTGGGCGAAGAAATGAACGTGAGAGTCAATACGTGTTAGTATCTTACTTGTGCTTGCACACGAGAAAGATGACAAATATGGATATTACTTCTGCTAGTACATCATTATATCCCTTGCATTCATATGAATAATAAAGTTTTTTTAAATCGTCTTTCTAAAATCTAAATTTCACTCATCATGTTCGCATTTAGCCGATGTATAGGAAACCGCTGTTTGACCAGGCACGCTAGCCATTTGAAACTCTTTGTCTTCATGACGTTGCGAAACAAGAGGCTGGTGAAATAGATGATACCGTGCGAGCACATTAATAGCCATGAGTGATAACATGGGTGGTAACATCATAAAAGATACAGTCAATGATTGGAATCGCAAGTTTAATGCCATTTGCGTCACAATTGTAACAGGACGAATAAATGGCAGCCAGAGACAATGATAGCTTTGGCTCAAATGGAAGAGAATCGCATTTATATGGAACAGGAAAATGACATAGAAACTAAGGTAATATAATGATGCTGCTGGAGATATGACTGCATATTTCATATCTTGATTAAACGACGATTGTAGGAACTGAGACAACCAGGTGGTGATGTTTTTGAGACTGAAAATGAGCCATACTGTCAGCGCAATGATTCCAGTGACAAGAAATGAGCCGAAGATACAAATACCAATCATGAGGACATAAGCATCATGAGCAGAATTAAAGAGCGTGAGCTGCCATCGCCACTCATCAGTAGGACGGTACACATTGGCAAAGATGACCAATAGTGCGATCATCATCATCAACCACCATATACCGATGATCATCAAAGCAACTATAAAAAAAGTTCGGTGCACACGTTGAGTGGGAGTTGGTATAGATCTGTACTCCGTGATGTTTCCCATCCAACGACGATCCAATAATAATCGTCTCCATCCGTCTGTCCACGTATATAGAACAGACGTTGGTAGCAACGCGTGCAGATCAAGAAAAGTTGATCGATGGAAAACGATGCAGATTGCAAGAACACCAAAAACGGCAATGAAAAAACTAAAGATGAGATTTCTTATCATGATATGTGTGATTCGATGCGCTTTGGATATTTCGATAATTGCAGAGAGTGCGTCAATGTTAGCATTGAGTACGGTAATATTAGCATTTGATCCAATGTCGTCGGCAAGTAGTGAATCATAGTGTGACTTTAATGACGATTGATTCCATTGATTTAGCAGAGCTTTTACTAACGACTGCTTCTGTTTGTACAAATCAAAATACAAATGATGCCATTTCGATGCAGGTACAAGAGCGGAAATGAGCGGTGAAATGAAAGATCCTTCACTTTGACGTGGTACTGGTACGCCCAAGAGAGCAGCAATAGTTGTGGCTATATCAACCGTGTCAAATGTGGAATAAACGGGTAATGAATTCTGTACAGAAGCCAGTTGAGAATCCTTCGCATATACAATGAGAGGAACGGTTTTTAATGTATGTGCATCACCGCCATGACCACCAACGTTGACATGCCCGTGATCGCTTGTTATAATAAATACAGTGCGAGTCTGTGTCACCACATCAATTGCAGTGATTGCATTGATACCTGCGCGAACGAACGCCACTTTATCATCGATGGCTGATTGTGTCTGCGATGATTGAGCTCCAAATGAATG